GTAGTTCATGTTGTTGCATGTTTAGCCTTTGCATTGCGTATGCTAGGTTGTTAGGAGCATTGTGCATGCCATGATATGTCATTCCTCGCATTGTGTATGCTAGGTTGATAGTCGCATGAGTATGCCTTAGTTCACGAGCATTGCGCATGCCACGTAGTGTTAGCATTGTATATGCTAGGTGCATGTTTGCATTTTATCCCTTGCATGCTTGCATCACTTGGTTGCATTACATTTAGGATTGCATGCTAGTCGCATTTGCACGTGCCATGCATTGCTTGTTGTATTGTGCATGGAGTAGGGTTTAGCCCAAGCCCGGGAAACGAGGGACGTTTCATACTCCGAGTGACGGAACGTGTCTCAATTTTTGGTCGCCGACACTCCGGATTACCTATGATGGAGTTTAGGCCTTGTTGTGTTTCCATGTGCATTCATTTTACATTGAGTCGTGCAATTCAACTCCTCGGTCATCATGCATCGAGATGCGTGATTGGTGGCACGAGGATCGAAGTGTGCATATATATGTGAAAATACTTTGCCATGCCCCTTTCTTACTCTCTGGTGCATCAAATCCGAAATCAGCAGCCTTCTAAAGCTTCGCACAGCATTCCAAGATTAATTGCAAACAGAGGCGAATCGGGACATTGCAATAGATTTCCGCGCAAGGCAACTCGAGCATACATCTTTCATCATTCGGAACAGAGCTGAGGCGGTCCATGAATTTGCATACTAGTTTATTTGCTTTCCTAGTTAATTTGTTAATTAATTAGGGTTTTGTAATATTTAATTATTCATTCGGACTGTAATTATTTATTCGGACTGTATTATTTATTCGGACCCTCCGAGCGAAGGCACAATTGTAATAAGTGTGCGTGCGTGTGATGTATGTCTTCCAAACTCACGTCTTTCTCCCTTTTATTTACCAGCTTATGATGGTTAGATTAAGGCATGTTTCAATTAGCATACAGTATGATAGCATGTTTGCATTCATTCATCTGTCTTGCATGCACCAGGCTCGGTGCATCATACTAACTGCATTTGTATTTCAATTCCAAAGTTGAATACATGTTCGTTGTAGCATCATCATATGCCATCTTAGAATAGCCGAGCCTATTTTAGTTGCATTTTCGCATGTGTTGCATTAGGCATTTCTGTATAGTTAGGATCATGCATGGATTTCTAACATAGCTTCTGTTTTGGCTTAAAGTACTCGGTAAGTTTTATGTTTTAGCATCCTTGCATGTGTGTGAGTGACTGCCATGATAGCATGCTTACCATGAGGCTAATTGCTTATGTGATATAACTGCCTAAATGCCTATGGGTGAAGGTTGGGTTATTTGGATTGAAACAATTCATTAAATGCGAGTTTTAAGCCCACTTGAGAGTGGCAAAATCATTTTTTCTAAGCCCACCCGAGGGTGGCAAATCCACGTCTTAGCCTACTTACGAGTAGCACCATCAAACCATTTTCAAATAAACAAACACGAGATGTTTTGTTCCAATTCAGGCGATCCAGTCTATACTTGTATGCTGTGCGTATCACATAGTAAATCTAGGCTAATAACCGGAATAAGAACGCATAATGTTTTCAAAACTAGATATCATGGTTAGTAGAGGTCGATCTTTGATCGGTCGAGCGGGGGTGCTCATGAAGTGACCTTCCCCAATCGTACCCAAGTTCCCGAGCCGAGGCAACTTTGGTGATGACAGACACATGGCCTTAGGCAACGAGTCAGGATTTCCTAAATTTTCCAAAATAAAATATTTAGGTGGCGACTCTGTATCTGGCAAAGCAGTCCATGTTCGGCACTTCTTTCAAAAAAAATATGTTTTCAAAAACGATTTGCCAAATTTGGACTCTTTGATGATTCATCGGTCTTGCATTGCACTCTGCGAGATTAGATACAGGACCGTGACATTGAGTCCTGAACTGTAGTGAACCCAATGAACAAAACGGGATTCTCTCCCGGAGCGTTTGGAGACGTCTACAATAAGTTACTACGGTAACCTGGGCCAACTATGAAGTTACGGTCCTCTTCCATGATGTTGCCAACCGGTGGCTAGATGTCTTTGAAAAAGTGATTCAGCCAGGAAATTTATGTGGTTTTGTCATTTTTCCATCTTTCTGCTAACAACTAGCCAGTCTTGGCGTTATACCAAGAGCCATGTTTCCTTGCCTCACGGAAAGCTCTCTGGAGGACAATAACAACAGCATGTTCCTCCACAGTTAGAAAGGCGGGGTCGAAAATATAGGGTATGTTTGGTTTGTGTTTGAGAGATGTGTTTTAGAGATAAAAAGTACGAAAAGTTATTTGGTTTGGTTTTTTTCAAAAGATGTTTTGGAAAATTATTTTGAGAGAGAGTTTTGGAAAAAGTGATTGATTTGATGTGTGTGAGAGAGAGATTTGTTTGGAAAACTTGTTTGGTTTACAAGTTTTGAGAAATTTTTTTGAAAAAATTTGTTTGGTTTGATTACTTTTAAAACCTTATTTATAGAGAAAATTTCTCAAAATTTTTTCAGAAATACAAACCAAACGAACCCATAGTCTCTGCAGGAACTAAGACACAGCAACACCAAAACATCCTCGAGAGGAGGGACAGTTTCTCCCTAAGAAATATAGAGTGTGATTGCCTCGGCTCCAGCAGGAAACGATGACGTCTGTGTTGGTCTGCACTTTGTGCATGAAAAGCTCCCTCGATATCATAATGACATTAAGAATTCAAACAGCCCTCAGACGCTGCTCAAAGGCATCATCCTTGATAATATCATCCACACAAAGAGGCTAGTCAACCGAAAGGCCGGAGTGAGTGCGGTAGTAGATGTAAGAGTGGGGAAAGTCATCACGTTTAATACGGAACCACAATACAAAAGTAGGATTGACCATGTCGGCTCTTCCGTAGAAGCCTCAACAAATGCGAGTTGGAGCTCCTCCAAAGTGAGAACAGCGAGAACAAGTATTACGTTTAGTAATTTCAATATTATGAAAAAGGTTGCTATTACAGAAGTGGTAAAAGGAATCAAGATTACAGCGCTAGAAAAGTCTGTGGCTAGGAGTGAAAGCACCCTTATTTCCCAGCAAAGGAAACTCCAAGAAAGTTAGAACCTCTACAAGTGTATCGGTGTATGCATGGATGAACTGCAGAAAGCTCTGATGAAAGTTTGTCGAAGGCAGAGGAGCACCACGATTACCTTTGCCGATGCCAAATTGCTTGAGGACTCTGTCATGTCAATAAACCACACTTGACATGCCCTTCTCATACCACACCGGCAGATACCCAAGACAGACTATGACAATTACAAGGAAAGAGTTAGCCTGGATGTTGTCAAGAGAGAAATCTAGATGGCGAGCCTTGGAAAAGTAAAAAGGAACCACTAAAATGCCTATAAAAGCATGCGTATAGGGACAAAAGACACACTCGCCATGCAATCAATATAGTTCATGAACTACTTGTTAGAACTAGCCCCAAACCACTGAGAAATCCTATGGAGAGCGTTGTTTATTTGCCTTGTAACCACTCATCCCTCTGCATCTAGAATCTCACCAGTGAAAAAGACCACAAACTCTTTAGAAGTAGGGTACGTAGCATGAAATCGCTCATAGAAGAAGGTTGTCAAGAATTGAGTGTGAACGAAACTCCACACATCATAACGACCCATGGACCTCTCCATGTCCGAGTGGATCAAGTAAGAACAAAAGTACAAAATTCCCCAAGAAGAAGTGAGCCAAAGGAATATAGGAGCCGCTGTAAAGTTTAACCACCAAGGGGAATACCAAGGAGTTCAAACTGTCTGCTAGGTTGTTGGGGAGGATGAAGAAAGAAAGAAAATAACTCACAAAAGCAGCTAGATATAAGTTACTGCGATAACCTGGGCCAACTATGAAGTTACGGTTCTCTTCCATGATGTTGCCAACCGGTGGCTAGATGTCTTTGAAAAAGTGATTCAACCAGGAAATTTATGTGGTTTTGTCATTTTTCCATCTTTCTGCTAACAACTAGCCAGTCTTGGCGTTATACCAAGAGCCATGTTTCCTTGCCTCACGGAAAGCTCTCTGGAGGACAATAACAACAGCATGGTCCTCAACAGTTCGAAAGGCGGGGTCGAAAATATAGTCTCTGCAGGAACTAAGACACAGCAACACCAAAACATCCTCGAGAGTAGGGGCAGTTTCTCCCTAAGAAATAGAGAGTGTGATTGCCTCGGCTCCAGTAGGAAACGATGACGTCTGTGTTGGTCTGCACTTTGTGCATGAAAAGTTCCCTCGATATCATAATGACGTTAAGAATTCAAACAGCCCACAGATGCTGCTCGAAGGCATCATCCTTCATAACATCATCCACACAAAGAGGCTAGTCAACCAAAAGGCCGGAGTGAGTGCGGTAGTAGATGTAAGAGTGGGGAAAGTCATCACGTTTAATACGGAACCACAATACAAAGGTAGGATTGACCATGTCGGCTAAGAAGCCTCAACAAATGCGAGTTGGAGCTCCTCCAAAGTGAGAACAGCGAGAACAAGTATTACGTTTAGTAATTTCAATATTATGAAAAAACTCATATTTGTCTCTCAATACATAATACATGCACGTTTATACTTAGTGTTTTATGTAATTCACATTAGAATAAGACATTTGGATGTATATATATATAAAGAAAAGGAAATAACGAAATAGTTAATAACATCACTATTTAGTATTCATGGGTGTTTCACCCTTTTTTTCATATAAACTACATAAGAGAATTGATAATTCGAGAAATACCATTCGGGGATGTAAACGTGGGACATTATCACAAGGTCTGAACTTTCCAGAAATAACAAAAAAGTTCATCTTGGCAACAGCCAAATTTGCATTGGCAATAGGAGGTGTCACCATAACCCAGAAGGCAGTTACTGACCGTTTTAAAATTCAAAATTTTTAGTTACTCTAACTATCACATCACAAACCTTTATATTCCACTGTGAATCAACATCAACATCAAATCTTCCAAACCTCTGATAATTCACTACCCTCTTCCCCTTTTTGACATCCGAAATCTTCATCTTCAAAATGGACCAAAATGAAGCAATCGGAATTAAAATCTACAATGCATCCCCACAACTCAATCCATCCCTTTACCCATCTTCTCCCCAATCCATCACGGCCGCCGCTCCTCCACCACCCACTGGCCGGAAAAGACGGGCGGTGGCGAGCGGAGTTCAAAAAACACTCTCCAAAACCTCAATGCTCGCCAACTTCCTCCCAACCGGAACCCTTCTCACCTTCGAGATGGTCCTCCCAACCGTCTATGGCACGGGCCAATGCTCTCAGGTCACCACTCTCATGACCAACCTCTTACTTGGCCTCTGCACTCTCTCCTGCTTCTTCTTCCACTTCACTGACAGTTTTCGGGGACCAGATGGGAATGTTTATTATGGGTTTGTGACTCCGAAAGGGTTGGCGGTTTTCAAGTCTGGGCTTGGCGTGGAAGTTCCGAAAGATGAGAGGTACAAAATTGGGTTTACAGATTTCGTTCATGCTTTGATGTCTGTGATGGTTTTTGTGGCAATTGCTTTCTCGGATCATCGAGTGACCAAGTGTTTGTTCCCGGGACATGGGAAGGAAATGGAAGAGGTGATGGAGAGTTTTCCTCTAATGGTTGGTGTAATTTGCAGTGGACTGTTTCTTGTCTTCCCCAACACTCGATATGGCGTCGGATGCATGGCCGCCTGATTATCGGTTCTTGAATTTTTATAGAAACCACTAAGAAGGATTGTGTTTAATTTTATGACTGGTTTATATGTTTTTAGATTTTTTTCGGTTGATTATTGGTGTCAAATATTAAAAACTTGTGTGCTATTGTTCTATTCGTGGTGTGATGTAACTTTGTTAATTGATCTCTGAAATGTTTGTTGTTTTAGATTGTGTTTGAATTTTGAGGTTTGAAAGGGAAGAAAAAATAAATGAAATAGAATCTAAATATTTTTCACAAATCATTTTTTTTTCCTTTTACAAATTTTCAATAAATTAGTAATTATTCTGTCTTCTGAAAATTTTACTTGGCAGTGTGTCTAATCAACAATAAAAAGTTAAGAATTACATAGTATTAAAAATAAGAAAATTGTGGAATATTACATGATCTTATTAGATAGACATATGATCATGTGATATTCTTGGCCTATAGGATAATTTTTGCCAATTGAAGGGTAATATTTTGTCTAGAGTCTGACAAATCATTTGTCCTAATGACTATTCGTATCTTTTACCATTTTTTTTTTCCTGTTTCTAATATATATATAGAAAAAATATCTTTTTGGAAATAGAGCACCATGTGCCCTGCTCTTGAAGAACACCAAGGATACTTTAGAGTATTTTTTTCTTAAAGTTTCTTAAAGTGGTGTATTGTGTAGTTGAGATTTAATATTGAAAAATTGATGTGACTTGTCATTAAATCGCAACCACACAATGCACTACTCTAAGAAACTTTAGGAAAAAAAAACTCTAGAAGATCCTTGCTCCTTGAAGAAATATAGTTTTACATGTACATGCTCTTGAGATATTTTTTTTTAATTTAAAAAGATTATTAGTAAATAAAAGATTTTGGATAACAAAATTTTAAATTGTGGCAAGATGTAGTAAGCTTTAAATTTTGTTATCATTTAGGCTCACTTGGGAAGGATGGAATGATGCGACAAATGTGAGATTGATTGAATAGCTGTGTAATTTCGTTTTCATTAATTTGTTTGGATATATGTTGAAAACGTTTGTTGATCAAAAAAAATATGTTGAAAACGTTTCAAGAACATAATTTGTGAATTGCATCCGCTCACTAAAGTGTTTCAGATAGATCCCTCATGTTATTGTTAAACTTAGGCTTGATTTGAAAAGTGGGTTGATTTTTTGACTTTTTGATTTTTTTTTTTTTACTATTTTAACTTGGGGTTAAAAAGCCTAGTTTGGGAAGAGTTTTTAGCTTTTTTGACTTTTTTTTTAGAAAAATAATGTAATGATTATAAGTTGAATGTGTTGTTTTGTCATATTGAGACTAAAAGCCTATTTTGTTGTTTGTGACTATTTTAACCCCAAACCCACTTCCCAAACAATGGCTTAAGGCCCCGTTTGTTTGGGGTTATAGGGAGGGGATTGAGATTGATAGTGAGGTGGGACTACTATATGGGGTGTTTGTTTTAAGAGATGGGGCGGGGACTCCTAATCCCTTAGTATTAGTAAAGGCCTTAGAAGGGGAATTGGGATGGAGGAGGTATAGATGGTATTAGAAAAATAGTGATGGAATTAGTAATTTTTTTATTATTTTTTATTTTTTATATATTGGGATTTTTTTAAAAAAATATTAATGTTTAATTTTTTATATTTTTTTATTTGCTTTATTATTTTATATAAAAATAATTTAATAATTCCTACACTAACAACTATCATCAAAACAAATACAATTTTACTTAATCCCCTCACTATCAATCTCCTAACTAACAATCCTCTCACTATTAATCTCCTTACTATCAATCCCCTCCATTCTATCTCTGAAAACAAACGGGGCCTAAGAAATCTGTCCTACTAGTTTGTATCGATAATAAATAAAGAATATACACTTTTCATATTTTAATTAGTAAAAAATAAAGAGTACCAATAGAATTATTCTAATAAGGCGGCTCTTCCCTTCTACTATATACCCCGCTCGATTTGGAGAGCCTTGATTTGCGAGAGAAAGTCGATTTGGAGAGCCTTGATTTGCGAGAGAAAGAGAGAGAGGAATATGAATAACAAAAATGCTAGAAGTTTTAAAAATTTTATTAAAAATTTTAGTAAATGTTTTACATGAGTGTGGGACCCATATTGTGTGGGTCCCACATGTAAGATATTTGATAAAATTTTTAGTAGAATATTTGAGGTCTCTACCATTACTCTATGAATAAAATCAAGTTTGAGTGAAACAATTCTTGAAGTGCTCTGTTTATTGGTGAAATATATCGTGCCGAAACGATTCCTCTTCCATTGCAGGACTCTAGAAACCTATTGGACCTATTCAAACAATCTAATAATAGATTCAGTTCTTTTTTCTTTTGTTTTTTTTTTTTTTTTTTTTTTTTTAACAAACAAATTCTCAATTTGGTTTAGTACTAATCTTAAAGACTTTAGACACGTCCAATGAATGAAGTCAAACACAGCAACAGAGCAGAGACAATTAACAACATCGCAAATGTAGCCTGCATAGCCATCTATACTATATATATTAAGTAAAATAAAATTTTTAACCCCAAAATTTGTGGGAGTTTCAATATTTTAATCTTAATTTTTTAATTTTTTGATTTTAAAAAAAAAAATCTCAGTATTTATTAATTTCTCTTAATCCCCATATCTTTTAGGAGATTTGGTCAAAACCCCCTAATAATTAAACTTTAATGCATTAAAGACCAGCATAAACAAAATTTTTTAAAAATTTCAACACATCTATCTATCTATATCATATTATATATATCTATATCTATACTATATATCAAACAAAATGGGATTTTTAACCCCTAAGGCCTGTGGGAGTTTCAATATCCCAATCTGAATTTTTTTAATTTTTTATTTAAAAAAAAAACTCAGCATTTATTGATTTGGTCAAAATTCTCTGATCAGAATTATAACTTTTTTCAATCCATGTGCCTTTCCACATGCCTGCATTTATTGATACAATCCCCTAATCAGCATTTAAAATTACCTCATACAAATAATTATAGATACAATCCGTGTATAATTACTGCAGTACCCTTTTCAACTTCTCCCATACACTATAGCTAGTGATAAGATTGTTAAATTATTTTTATAAAAAATCTTAAAAGCATAATTTATATATTAAAAAAAATCTAAAATAAATATAAATATCTATAATTATCCCGTACATAGCACGGGTGATAGGCTAGTACAATTATTACATCAAAAGGATAGTGGCAAAATGCCAACTGGACTCAATATTGCGTGAAATTTATTGACTTGATGGAAAATGTGACTTTAAGCATGACCCCATAAAATTTCAAGAACCCCTGGTGAATTTTGGACACATTCCATCGTTTAGGTCGGTAAATTCGGGAATTTGTCATTTTGTGAAAGATTTGGGGCTCGTTTGGTTTGATTTTCTGAAAAAATTTTGGGAAATTTTCTCTACAAACAAGTTTTCAAAAATAATCAAACCAAACAAATTTTCCCAAAAAAATTTCTCAAAACTTGTAAACCAAACAAGTTTTCCAAACAAATCTCTCTCTCACACATATCAAATCAATCACTTTTTCTAAAACTTTATCTCAAAATAATTTTCCAAAACATCTTTTAAAAAAAACCAAACCAAACATATTTTCGTACTTTTTATCTCTAAAACACATCTCTCAAACATAAACCAAACATACCCTTGAAACTTTAACTACTCCTAGCGTAGACCTCGGAAGATTTCGTCGAAACTGCTATTATCGTAGAAACATATATTAACAGTTTTTTTTTAAATTATTATAATATTTGTATTTTTGGTAATTTTCATTTTATTTCCTTATTTCGTATTGCTTGTTACGAAAAGACCAATCCTGATTGTTTTCTACCAAGTTAGGTCTGTCTTTACTTATAAGTAATAGATCACATTAGGGCTCTTCAGTTATTGGAGAATTAATATATTTCGAGTTTTGTAGTCTTTTATTCCAACCTTGAGGTATTTTTTAAGAATCAACTATTATTAAACTTTTATTTTCGATATGCTTTATGAATCAACTAGTCTAAAGATAAATCTTATTTCCAATATTAAGTTTTCAATCAACAAGTTCAAAGATTATTACTATCTTATGTTTTCGCTAGATCAATAACTTTGAAAGAGAAAATATGAATCAAACAGGAATTGAATTGGAGAGAAATTGAATCCGAATCCTCTAGAGTTTAGTGTATGGCAGAGAGTTTTTTTTTTTTTTTGCTTTTAATATAAAATGAATAGAAGTAAACCATCAAATCTTATAGAATTAAATTTCAGTCATATAAAAATAGCTCTAAGATCATTTTGGAAAAAATCATTCTGGAGAATCCAGATTCAAAGAACCTGCCCCCTTCCTGGATGGCACATGAAGAATATCAAGAAGAGATGAAAAGACAAGAAAGTGGAAGTAAGGAGAATTAAGAAAAAGCAAAGTTCACAAAAGGGTTAAGAATATTCTTTTGTTTTTAAATTTCCCTAAAAGTTGTCCTAATGCACTTTTGATACAAGATAATTTCAAGACACAAGAACATGATCCTATAATTGGGAGTACTTTGAAATATATATATATATATATAAAGGATTTAAAAATAGAAAATCTTGATTCCAAAAGTAATGGGGAAAATAAAGGGTCACAGCCAACATGATCCAAATTTGGGGTGACTGCTGTGACTGTTGTCCAGTAAGATGAGCCTATTTTGATATTTATTTGAATAATTCGAACCGTTTATATTTTAGACTATATCGATTAGAATATACTTATAAAAAATCAAATTAATTAAATATCGTTAACCCTTTCATTCACTCACATTTGTATTCATTTTAATACTACAAATCATACTGTTTCAAAAAAATAAAATAAATAATAATAATAATAATACTATAAATTACAATTGTCATTTACTTTTGTAGATATAAATGTGAGTGGATGAAAGGATTACCGATATCCAATTAACTTGATTTTTTAAGAGTATGTTATACTTGATATATTCTAAAATATGAACAATTTAAATTATCAAAATAAATCCATTTGACTGCACAATAGCCATCCCAAATCCTTATGGTCATGCTGAGGCTAGCTTAAGAACACAAAGTGAAAAGGGTGTTGTAATATTCCATCTCTTTCCCCAAATTT